CAAACTCCTGACCTCAGGTGATCCAAGCTCCCCTTGGCCTCCCAAAGTGCTGAGATTACAGGCTTGAGCCACCATGCCCGGCCGGAGGAACCTGTTTCTTTGTATTTTTTTTTTTTTAAGACCGAGTTTCACTCTCATTACCCAGGCTGGAGTGCAATGGCACGATCTCGGCTCACCGCAACCTCCGCCTCCTGGGTTCAGGCAATTCTCCTGCCTCAGCCTCCTGAGTAGCTGGGATTACAGGCACGTGCCACCATGCCCAGCTGATTTTTTGTGTTTTTAGTAGAGACGGGGTTTCACCATGTTGACCAGGATGGTCTCGATCTCTTGACCTTGTGATCCACCCGCCTCGGCCTCCCAAAGTGCTGGGATTATAGGCGTGAGCCACCGCGCCCGGCCCCGGAGGAACCTGTTTCTAACTTGCACAGAGATGGGGTGTGGGCTGGCAGGATTTCCTGTCTCATTGGGTCACCATCTTTCCATGTTTACAGTGAGGAGCTGGCCCATGAACTCAGGTCCTTCCAGGTTCCATCTATGATTGGAAGGCTTAGTTCTTCTCTGGTTCTGCCCTGACCTGCTCCATGATCCTCCTTCTCTCAGCTTCCGTCTGCCTTCTATACCCAGAGAGGGACTTGGAATGACACTCTGGGATTCTTTTCCCCTGACTTTATGGGAGTTTTTGTTTTCTGTTTTTTGTCTTTGAGACAGAGTTTTGCTCTTTTGCCCAGGCTGAAGTGAAATGGGCTGGTCTCAGCTCACTGCAACCTCTGCCCCTCCAGGTTCAAGCGATTCTCCTGCCTCAGCCTCCCAAGTAGCTGGAATTACAGGCATGCACCACAATGCCCAGCTACTTTTTGTATTTTTAGTAGAGACAGGGTTTCCCCATGTTGTCCAGGCTGCTCAAACTCCTGACCTCAGGTGATCTACCTGTCTTGGCCTCCCAAAGTGCTAGAATTACAGGCCACCACGTCCGGCCCTTTTCCTCTGACTTTGATGCAGCACTTGGTGCTGGGTTGGAGCCAACTCTAGTTCCCCAGTTGGTTGTGGGAACCTCTCTGTCCCGCCGGAGCTGAGGCCTGCTTGGCCATGAGGCCGTGTTGAGACATGTCCTTCCTCCTCCCCAGGGCTTGGTGGCCATCCCTGTCTCCATCTTCTGTAGTGTGCCACATAAGAAGCACTTTGACCACTATATCCGCTTCTGTTTTGTGAAGGTAAAGGGCGGGACTGGGGGAGGAAAGACCTCACAGAGCTTCCCAAGGCCCCCTGGGCGCGTGGGGAGAGGGTTGGACCATTCTGTGTTGGTGCAGGACGAAGCCACGCTCCAGGCCATGGATGAGAAGCTGCGGAAGTGGAAGGCGGAGCTCTAGCCCTGAAGTCACGCCCTTAGCCCTGACATCCCCACGTCTCCACAGGGATGCTCTTTGGATATCTGTCTTTGTCCGTGTTTCATCCATGTCCAGGTCGGGGAAGACAGTATTGGGAAACCTCTTTATGACACAGAATGTTCTGGGCGGGAGCCGCCTGTCTTCATCGTAGAGAACCAAGTGCCTCCTGTCTGAGAGGCGAGGGTCGGCCTGACCTGGGCCTCTCCCTGTGCCTCCATAGGTGGGTTTGTAGGGTCTTGGGTTGCTTCTGGTCTCTCGAGCCTTGGCTGAGTCTGGAGGGCAGAGTCCCACAATGTATTGATCACGTCGCAACCCTGCTAACGCTCAGACACAACCTCACCTTTCCTGGCTCATCTTGGCCTTGGAAGTTGCCTTTAGGTTTGAGTCCTCCTTTTCATCCATAATAAAATGTTTAAGTTATTTGAATCCTTACTGATGGCTTCTCTTTGCTTCACACTCGTGCTGATGGCTGATGTAACTTGATAAAAATGCCCAGGAAAACCTCAGACACCCCCCAACTTTTTACAAATGGTTTCTGTAGTCACATAGTTACTGTGGCACAACCAGGCCTAGAACCCAAGACCCCCAAATTAATTCCTCACTATTAATCTTTTTTTTTTTTTTTTTTTTTTTTTTTTTTTTTTTTTTTTGAGACGGAGTTTTGCTGTTGTTGCCCAGGCTGGAGTGCAATGGCACGATCTCGGCTCACCGCAACCTCCGCCTCCTGGGTTCAAGCAATTCTCCGGCCTCAGCCTCCCGAGTAGCTGGGACTACAGGCATGCACCATCATGCCCAGCTAATTTTTGTATTTTTAGTAGAGATGAGGTTTCACCTTGTTGACCAGGATGGTCTCGATCTCTTGACCTTGTGATCCACCCACCTCAGCCTCCCAAAGTACTGGGATTACAGGCTTGAGCCACCGCGCCCAGCCTTATTAATCTTTTTTTTGAGACCGAGTCTCGCTCTGTCACCCAGGCTGGAGTGCAGTGGTGCACGTTCGACTCACTGCAACCTCCACCTCCCAGATTCAAGCCATTCTCCTGCCTCAGCCTCCTGAGTAGCTGGGACTACAAGCACTTGCCACCATGCCCAGCTAATTTTTGTGTTTTTGGAGATGGGGTTTCACTACGTTGGACAGGCTGGTATCAAACTCCTGATCTGAGGTCATCTGCCTGCCTTGGTCTTCCAGTGTGCCGGGTTTACAAGCATGAACCACCAAACTTGGTGTCTGATATTAATCTGATGGTAGCAGTTATTGGTACTGGGTATGGTGGCTGGGGTAGGGGTGTCGTGTGTGTGTTGGGGGGGGATTGGGGCTTGTGACAAGGAAGACATGGACATTCCCACAGGGGTGAGAGAACAGCACAGTGACGGCTAGGAGGACCAGGGACTTACATAATTCGCAGGAGGAGGAGGAATGAATGTTGATTGTGCAAGCTCTATCTGCCAGGATGCCCATCATCTTAATCCTCTGAGACTGAGACCTGAGTTATCTGCAGTTCACAAGTGAGGAAAGCATTCTGAAGGTAAGGTGAAGTGATGTGCCCAGGCCTTCTAGCTGGCCCAGTGTGTGTCTAACTCGATAGCAGTGGTAGCTCCTGAATTCCTTGGATAGGTGGTATTAGAGGCCTTACCTTGAAGTTGCATTTGTGACTTCATGAAATTGCATGTTGTGCTTGCATAGCAAGCACATGGGTTTGGCTCATATCATATGTTTAACCGATAGGAACATACCATATAATAAAATACACATTCGGTCTTTGCCCCTAGTAAAGAATTCCTCGGCTGGTTACGGTGGCTCACACCTGTAATCCCAACACCTTGGGAGGCCAAGGCAGGCAGATCACAAGGTCAGGAATTCAAGACCATCCTGGCCAATATGGTGAAACCTCGTCTCTACTAAAAATACAAAAAAAATTAGCTGGGAGTGGTGGTGCACACCTGTAATCCCAGATACTAAGGAGGCTGAGGCAGGAAAATCTGTTGAACCTGGGAGGCAGAGGTTGCAGTGAGCCAGCATCACACCATTGCACTCCAGCCTATGAGACAGAGCAAGACTCTGTCTCAAAAAAAAAAAAAAGAATTCCTAAAATCGTTGGAGTCTCTGGATGATAGGCATATCTTCTTAGTTACATGGAACCACTCTGCACTGTGTACTTACAGGGTCAGAGATTTTAGCCCCTCACCCTGTTCATCTCTGGCTCCTGGGGGAGTGGGGGGGGGGTGAAGGACTAGACTTTGAGCCCAATTACATGGTCCATATCTTTTTCTTGTTCTTGTTTTGGGGTTTTTTTGTGTGTGTGTTTTTTTTTTCTCATGTGGCCAATGTCTTAGTCACGCTTACAAAATAAACCTGTCAAAAAAATCACAACAAATTTAGTATAAGATCTAAGTTGGGCCAGGCCTGGTGGCTCACACCTGTAATCCCAGTGCTTTGGGAGGCTGGGGCAGGAGGCTCTTCTGAGACCAGAAGTTGGAGACCAGCCTGGCCAACATAGCAGGAGTTAGAGACCAGCCTGGCCCCATCTCTACTAAAAATACAAAAATTAGCTGGACATGGTGACACACACACCTGTAATCTCAGCTACTACTTAGGAGGCTGAGGCACTAGGATTGCTTGAACCTGGGAGGCTGAGGTTGCAGTGAGCCAACATTGCACCACTGCACTCCAGCATGGGCAACAGGGCAAGATTCCCTCTCAAAAAAAAAAAAAAAAAAAAAAAAAAATCATTAATGGCTCACTTCTGTAATCTCAGCACTTTGGGAAGCCAAGTTGGGGGATTGCTTGAACCCAGGAGTTCGAGACCAGCCCTGGCAACATAGTGAGACACCACCTGTACAAAAAGAAAAAAAAAAAAATTAGGTGTGCATGGTGGCTCACACTTGTATTCCCAACTAATATAAAGTCTGTTAATTAAAAGAGAAAGAGGCCCGGTGCGGTGGCTCATGCCTGTAATCCCAGCACTTTGAGAGGCCAAGGCGGGCGGGATCACTGAGGTCAGGAGTTCCACTAAGCTGGCCAACATGGCGAATCCCCATCTCTACTAAAAACGCACACACAAAAAGCTGAGCATGGTGGTGCGCGCCTGTAATCCCAGCTACTTGAGGGCCTGAGGCAGGAGAACTGCTTGAACCCAGGAGATGGAGATTGCAGTAAACTGAGATCGCGCCGTTGCACTCCAGCCTGGGCGACGGAGCGAGACTCTCCCTCAAACAAACAAAAAAAACTCTACATGAACAATCTATAAGAAACCTGGATTAAATTATCTCATTTTCAGCTCTGAATCACAGTGCAGTTCAAGGCCCGAGGGTCCCCATGTATAAAGTCTTACGGAAGCCAGGCGTGATGGTGCATGCCTGTGGAACCAGCCAGCCTCAGCAACATATCAAGACCCTGTCTCAAAAAAATAATTTTAAAAACAAACTACGCGGAGGTCTGAGTGCTGTAATTGTCCGAATTTAGAGGAGAGCTCTCAGCCATCCAAGGTTCAGGACAGTAACCGCAATGCCAACCATTTGGGCACCTACTTCGTCCAACCCCTACCAGCCTACGCGCTCCTGGAGCCGCCAGGCTCCCAGGCCACGCCCTCGTGAGCATTGGTTCTCCGATTGGACAGCTTGATGGAGGTGTGGCCGGAAGAGGCGAGTCTCATTGGCAGGGGCGTGGCCGACGGTTTGTGCGGAACATGGCGGAGCGCGGGAGAAAGCGCCCGTGCGGCCCGGTAAGTGCGGGCAGCGGGACCCCGCGCAGGGCAACAGGGTGGAGGCTGACAACCAGCGGCGTGGGGGTCTGCGCCGGGGCCAGGCCGCGCCTTCTGCTTCCTGCTTCCCGCTGATCCCAGGCCGGAAGCCCTGAAGGTGCCGCGTGAGCCGCTGCGGGATGGGAACAGCGCCGACGTCCCCTCCGGAGCCCCAGAGGGCTCCCTGGCCCCCGCTAGATTACGGAGGCGGGACTCAGCTAGCAATCTTGAATCTGGAGTCCTTTCGTGGCTATGTCTTCTGACTTCCAGGGCGACTGTGGGCAGTCCTGTCCCCTGAGCCTCAGTTTTCTCTTCTGTGGGAACTCATTCGACAGTTTCTTGAGTACTTGCTGTGTGCCAGGCCGGGTTCCAGGTCCGTGCCCTCCTGCCGCTTTCTGGGGCAGCAGTTTGCAGAGGTTCCTTGGCTTCCTTGTCGCCCCATGTGGATGGGCTGGCTGTGGAGGAGCAAGCGGACCCCCTCCAGGTGTGACCAGCCTCACACCTCCCACTCCTTCTCTAGGGTGAACACGGCCAAAGGATTGAGTGGCGAAAATGGAAGCAGCAGAGTAAGTAAGGGTGGGGAGTATCTGCGCTCACCCCCCCCCCATAGACCACTCTCAGCAGTGCTCAGTCAAACCTTGGAGAAAGACACCAACTGTGCCCCCTCTGGGTCCTACAGCACCCTAAGTTGGGAGGCAGGGGCCGGAAGCCCTGGGGAGCCCCCTTGCTGCCCTCTGGCTGCTCACCCAGCAGCTCTGCAGAGTTCAGGCTGACCCAATGAGTGGGAACTATCTCCTCCGACAATCAGGATGTTCTCTTATCTAGAGAAAGAGGAGAAAAAGAAATGGAAGGATCTCAAGCTGACGAAAAAACTGGAGCGGCAGCGGGCACAGGAGGAACAGGCAAAGCGCCAGGAAGAGGAGGAAGCAACGGCAGAGAGGGAGGACCGCGGTGAGCTGGGGCCTTAGGGAGGGCCACAGGTTGTGGCCCACAGTAGATGTCCTGCAGGCAGAGCAGAGGCGTCATATCTGGAAGGGCCCTTACAGACCAGTAGGTCCAAACATCTTGTCCTGATGGAGAAACTGGGGCCCAGAGAAGGGAGGGAGCCAGCTAACTGAGTTCTGACTTACTGCTTAGGTAAATTTCCAGCCTATGGAATGTAAGCCTCATCTCTCTCTCTCCCTCTCTTTTTTCTTTTTTTTTTTTTTTTTTT